ATGATCCCAGGGTCCTGGGATCGAGTCCCGCATCGGGCTCCCAGCTCCGTGGGAAGCCTGCTTCTCCCTCTCCCACTCCCCCTGCTTGTGTTACCCCTCTCGCTGTGTCTCTCTCTGTCAAATAAATAAAATCTTTAAAAAAAAAAAAAAAGAAAAGAAAGAAAGAAAATGTTTACGGGGTGCCTGGGCGGCGCAGTCGGTTAAGCGACCGACTCTCGGTTTCGGCTCAGGTCCTGATCTCAGGGTCGTGAGATTGAGCCCCACATCAGGCTCAGCGCTCAGCGTGGAGTCAGCTTGGGACTCTCCCTCCCCTTCTGCCCCTCCCACCGCTCGTGCTCTCTCTAGCTCTCTCTCTAAAACAAATAAATAAATCTTAAAAAGAAAAGAAAATGTTTACAACAGGAACCTGCAAACTTCTTCTACAAAGGTCTGGATAGTTAATATCTTCAGCTCCGCAGGCCAGACTGTCTATATCAACCCCTCAACTCCATGGTTGTAGCTGGAAAGCAGCCGTAGACAATGCATACGTGAATCAACGGACATGGCTGTGTGCCGATAAAACTTTATTTATAAAAACATGCTGTGGTCCAGGAGTCCCTGGGTGGCTCAGTCAGTTAAGCACCTGCCTTCAGCTCAGGTCATGATCTCAGGGTGCTTGCTCAGTGGGGAGCCTGCTTCTCCCTCTCCCCCTTGCTGGTACACTCGTGCTATCTATCATCTCTTAAATAAATAAAATCTTTAAAAAAAAAACATGCTGTGGTCCAGATTCAACTTTTGGATTGTAGTTTGCTGGCCCCTGGTTTGGATTAATGCCTGGCACATAGTTAACACAATATAAATCATTTGTTAAATAGATGGACTAGCCGGCATACCATGCAGTCATTTTTTTTAAAATGAGGACAATCTCTATGTATTGATTTGGAAAGAGTCCCAAGATGATTATTAAGTGAGGAAAGCAAGACATAAAGCAGTCAGTGGTATGTGCCATCTTCCATGTTAAGGGAGGAGGGTAGGAAATAAGAACCTAAATTCCTATTTGCTTATGTTTGCATAAAGAAACTCTGGGAGGATATACAGTCAACTTAAAAAAAAAAAAAGTAGTTACATGGGAGAAAGAAGGAGCTGGGTATCTAAGGGACAGGATGAGAAGTTAAATTTTTCCCTGTGCACCTTTTTATGTGTTTTTTTTTTTTTTAAGATTTATTTGTTTGTTTGAGAGAGAGAGAGAACGAGCAGGGTTAGGGGCAGAGGGAGAGGAAGAGGGAGAAGCCGACTCCCCGCGGAGCAGGAAGCCCAACCCGGGGCTCAATCCCAGGACTCGGAGATCATGACCTGAGCTGAAAGCAGACGCTTAACCGACTGAGCCACCCAGGAGCCCCCCTTTTTATGTGTTTTAACATTTGAACCGTATGAATGTATTATTCACCCAAATAAATATTTTAAAGATTCTTGCAGATCTCTGTCCCCGATCACAGGGTTTCTCAACCTCAGCGTTATTGACGTTTGGGGCAGAGAATTCTCTGCTGTGTGAGCATTGTAGGATATTGAGCAGGAACCTTGACATCCATCCACTAGATTTCAGTAGCATCTCTCAGATGTGATGAAACCAAAAACGGGTCCAGACATTGCCAAATGCCCCTGGGGGGAGGGCAAAATCACCTCAGCTGAGAAATACTACCCCAACCTAAACTCCTGCTTGCCGTGTTACCCTCTTGCTACCCCACATCCTTCCTAAGAAGACTTTTAGTGAGGGTTTATTAGCTGTCAGACACCATGCTAAGCAGTACTGAAATAGCACAACAGTCCTCGAAATAAAGGTCCCATTTTTTTTTTACAGATTTTATTTATTCATGAGAGACAGAGAGAGAGAGAGAGAGGCAGAGGGAGAAGCAGGCTCCCAAGGAGCAGAGAGCCCGATGCGGGACTCCATCCCAGGACCCTGGGATCATGACCCGAGCTGAAGGCAGACGCTTAACCATCTGAGCCACCCAGGCGCCCATAAAGGTCCCATTTTTATCCACGTCTCACAGATGGGGAAACTGAGGCTTGGAGAGGGTAAGCCAGGAAGTGGTGGCATCAGGATTTGAACCCAGGTCTGGCCCCTCAGAGCCACTGCCCTCCAGCTGACACCCCTTCTAACTCTCCCGCCCTCTTCCCTGCCTCTGTCAGTGGCCCGGGCATTCACAGGTTGGGGACCTTGACATCATCCGGGCCCCAGAGCCTGCCTCTCCGCCAGGTCAAATCAGCTCCCACACCCTGGTGGGTCTTTCCCACCATGACTGTCACATTCGCCCCTTCCTCTCCACTCCCTTGGCCTTAAGGTTTCATCTCCGCAACCCAGAATGTGGACTCCCAGAGAGAGGAGGTGAGTTAGGATGTCTGGTGGTCAGGGTGCCGCCTGTGATATGATCCTCACTCGGCCTCAGATCTCAGAGGGACCATCCAGCTTGTAGACACTCTGGTCTGACTTCAGCCATGAGCCATTCCCAGCAGACTCTGAGGCCACCCACAAGCTCTCGCCTCAGGGCCTTTGCACTGGCCGGACCCCTGCCAGGAGCACCGTGTCCCCGGATTCACAAGGCTCATCCCCTCATTTTCCCAAATGTCTCTGCCCAAATGTCACCTTATCAGTGAGGCCTCCCGGACCACCTATTCAAGACTGCGACCCCCACACTCAGGAGCTCCCTTTCCTGCTTTGATTTCTCCAGAGCACATACCGCCTCCCCACAAGGTAAACGTTTCCTTATTTGCTCACTGTCGGTCTCGACCACTGGAAGACGGGCTCCTCAGCGACAGGGCTCTGTGTGGGTCTCCTCCCCACTATCCCAGCACCAAGAAGAGGCCTAACATACATTGCCATTGCCGTTGAGTGCAGGCGCTCTTCCCACCCTCTTCCCCGGAAACAACTGAGAAAACGCAGAGGAACTGAGAAGCATCCAAATTCCGGCCGCCACACCTTCCTCTATGCCGCTCCTGTCGGGATCATTTTCCCCTTTTCTCCCTCTGCCCTTCCACACCCCAAGGGCGGTCCGTGGCCCCAGCTTAAATCAATGGACAGATGGGGCCCTGCAAACCTAGAGAAGCTGTTCTGTCCTTGTGTCACCTCCCTCCACCCCACTGGACCCACCTTTTGGCTTCGCGCACACATCCCCGCTGAGAACAGGGCACAGGGCTGAGCTTTGAGGGGAGACAAGATGAGCAGAGACAGGAAGGCACAGAGCTCCATATGGGAGGATTGGGGAACAGCCCTGCGCAGCCTGGGGCCTGACACAGCTGGGCATAGGAAGCCAGAGCAATGAGAAAGCTCATACTCACTCTTCAAAACATAGCACAAATGTCCCCTCTTGCATAAAGCCTGACATCGCCAGCCAATGTCTCGCCTTTGCCTCAGGGCTCCCAGCCCTGAGGTTTCTCCCTCTGTCCCAGTTGTGACCGCACAGGACTGGGGGTGTCCATCTCCCCAGTCTGGAGCACCTGGAGGGCCAGGCCTGGCCCGGGTCCTCGGCACTGCCTGGCACAAAGAAGAAGGCTGCCTCCCTGCAGTCCCCACAGCTGCCTTCCCAGATATTAAGGCCATGCCCCCGTGCCCTTCATTAGACAACCAGCAGTAGGCAAGATGTAGGCAGGAATGGAAGTTCATCCTCAAGTTTATCCACTTCCCCATCAGCTGCTATTAAAGCCTCACTGGGGACCTTGACCGCCTGTGGGTCCGGGGCCTGACAGGTCCCATGGCTACTTCCCCATCTGCTAGAAGCCAGGAGGTGAGCAAATGTATGCAAATCTGGGATGGCCTGTGGCCAGAGGGGCTGGGCCTCTGGAGTTCCCTCATCCTTTCAGTAAGCCCGGCCTGGGCTAAGGAGGGTGGGCCACCCACTTCCCCAACCCCAAGGCCGTGTCCCCAGGAAATGCCTCCCAAGGTCCCCCATGGGCCCCCTCCCTGAGAAGTTACTTCCCCCCTCTGCATCCGCACGTGGCATCTAGGACCAGAGAAAAGGCTCCCCACCAATCCACAGCTCCCTGACACAAAGCTTTCATTGCAGAGTGGAGCCTGAGGGCCAGAGGTGAGTGTCCTCTCAGACTCCCAAGGCAGGTGAGGCACCCGGAGCCCCTAGCCCCCAGCATACACAGCTTCCACCCAGCACCCAGGAGACCACAGGGACCCAGAGAAGGGGCTACAGAGAGGGGATCCAGTCACGTTACCTCCTCCACCCCAACCGCATTCAAATAGGGATTTGAATATATTTCCTGAGTCTAGCAGGGCCCTGCTCAGTACAATCCACCCTCCCCGGACCTGAGCCTTTGCAGCAATCCCTACAGAGAAAGAGCAGTTATTTCTAGGCTCCAAAACCCCAGGACCTACTCTTGGGCTCAAGACCAAGGCTTTTCTCAATGTCTCCCTGGGATGGATAGAGCTAGGAAGACCAGAGCCCAGGGGCCCACAGCCCCCCACCCGCCCCACGCGCCCCAGGCCCAGGCAGGAAGCGAAGGGGAAGAAGATGTGAGGGGAAGGAAGGGGCCCAGGGCCTGGGAGGAGGAGACACATGTGGGGGAAGAAGTTGGTGGAGGCCCCTCCCCCATAGGCAGAAGGTGGGGAGGGTGGTGTCAAAGGAGGTAAAAACCTCAGGCAAACTGCTGGTCACTGGGGGTTCCCAGGTAACCCTCAAGACCCCCACACAGTCCCATCTGGGGGTTTGAACCTCAGCGGAGTCAGCCTGGGGCTTGGAAGCTTTAACCCCAAGTTTGTCAGTTCTCAACCTAGATGGGCACTAACCCAGAGCCTATGAACCCATTCCTGTTACCCTTGGGTGAGACACCCCCGGATCTCAGAGTTTACCACCCCCTCCATCCCTCCCCCCCTCCCTCCTGTGCCAGCCCCAGAGTCCGGAGCATATTCTCTTCTCCATCACAGGCCCAGAGCTTCAGCGTATTAAGTCTCCTGGTACCAGCCAGGGGTGGCCCCCACCTCCAACCCCTGGCACTCCAGCCAGTGGCGGGCTCACCTGGGACATCTGGGGGCGCAGGTTGACCTCACGCAGGTTGATGGCATGGGGCAGCAAGTTGTTGAGCAGCTGACACAGAAGGACGCCATCCCGGAGGGCCTGTGCAAGCTCGCACACCTGGGCCCCATCCCAGGTCACGCGGTGGCTGGGGGGCAGCACCCGGCACTGGATCAGCCAGTGGGTACACTGGCGCCAGAGTTCCATGGCTGCTGCCTTACCGGGTCAGCCCGCGCGCCCTTGCGGCCTCCACCGCCTGCCTGCCTGCCTAAGCTAGCTAGCTACCACTTCCTCTTCTTTGCCTGTAACTGTCGCCCTGAGAGGGGGTGGAGAAGGCGGAGCCTTGGGGGGGGGGAGGCGGGAGCACCTGCAGCCCAGCCCCTTCTATGCAGGCCCTGGCATCTCTTCCCCCCACCAGCTCAACACAGGCCTGGGCACCTGGGGGTGGGGGGCTGCTGGTGGAGTTACTGAGGCCTGCTGCCTTCCTCCATATCCAATCCTCTCAGCAACAGACTCAAGATCTGCTCTCTTCTGAACCCTCTCTCCCCTGCCTCCACCCCGCGTTGGCACCCAACATGCTAGCTTGGACGAGCGTATTCTCCTCTACCCTGGTCCCCAGGCTCACTCCCGCCCCCACAGTCTGTCCTCCCCACAGAGGAGCACACCTGTGAGCATCTGGGCAAGTCATGATGTCCCTCCTCTTCTTACAGCCCACTGCCCTGCAGCCAACAAGGCCCTACATGACATGCCCCTCCCTGCCCTCACCTCTTCCACTCACCACCTTCCCTCATGCATTCTGCTCCAGCCACACAGGCCTCCTTACCAGGACGCCCTAGAATCTTACCCCAAAATCCTGCCACAGGCCCTTTGCACATGCCGCTCCTCTGCCTTCAACAAGCAACTTCATGGCTAGCTGCTCCCTCACCTCCAACAGTTCTTTGCTCAATGTGACCTGCTCATGAAATCTTCCCAAATCTCTCCATTTCAAATCACAGACTTTCTTTTCCACTTCCCTACATTAAGCCCTGATCACCATCCAACAAACCTGATATTTTATTATATTTATTTCTTTATTGTCTATTTAGAAATCTCTGTCTCATATGTTCCCAGCACCTGGCATAAATACATGCTCCGTAAGTATTTGTTGAATGAATAAATAAATGGTTGGAAGCTTTTTTTGGCTCTACCTCTAACATCCCCAAATTCATTTATTTATTGCCATGGCCCTGGCCACCACCATCTCTTTCCTTTTAGACTTCCATGGTGTCGTTCATTAATCCATTCGTTTAGCGAACATTTACTGTCTTCGTGGACCTCATCATTACCTGGAATCATTTTGCCTACAAGGTCTCTCTCCCCACCTCCACCCCACTAGGCTGAATAGACTCCCGTCCATCTCACGAGGCACGCCCCTTGGATTTTTCTTTTTTAACCCTTTAATCACTAGGGGGCGCTAGCCTCCTTCAGTGGACATACAACACACACCCCACCCCACCCCACCCCCCCCCGACCGCTCCAAAACTAGGTGGGAGGAGGTCAAGGAAAAGACACTCCCCTCAGCATTTCCTGAGCCTCGAGCCTCTTCCACATTCGCGGGGGGAAAGCCGAGCCTGGAAATCACCGGCTTTGCGATCCCACAGGCACCGAAACTTTTCATCCCCAACCATCCCGGGCGCTTATTTCCTCATCTGTAAAATGGGTGACAGCAACCTTCACCGTTTTTAGAATTCTGGTAGGGATCAGAGATTGTGGGGCTGCACAGACGAAAGCGAGGAAGGCAGAATGGCGCTCCAGGGCTCCAGGTATGAATCCCACCTCCGCCACTCACAAGCCGGGTCAATTTGGGCAAATGGCTTAGCTGCCCCGTGCCTCCGTTTCTGCATCTGGAAAATGGGAGTGATGGAAATAGTACCTACTTCACTGAGGGGTCGATGTAAAAATTAAATGCGTTGAAGCAGGTCAAGGAAGCGGGACAGTCCTGGCACACGGTAAGTGCTCAACAAGTGTTAATTGGCGGCTACTGCTTTCAATACTGTTATTATTGCGAGCCCTCAATAAACGTGGCCAGACCGTCCTCCCTCTTGTTCCAGATCCATTCCCCCAACCCTTCCATGCTTGCTCCAAGCATCACGATGGAAGCCCCCCTCCCACCTCCCACCAAGGAAACCACCTGAATGTCTCCCCCGGCCATAATCCCCCAGTCTAGCTCATCTCCCTCGTGCTGTTACAGTGGAGAGGCTGTCGTGTTTTCCCGCATCTGTCTCCACAAAACCCGACACCCACTGGAGTTCCCTTCCCGGAAACCCAACGGGACGGTCTGGAGGAAGCGCACCGCTACGTCACAGCAGCCGCCACCCCCGCGCTGCAAGAGAGCCCGTAAGGGGCCGCCCTGTCCCCGCGAGGAACCCTGGGGGGGTGAGGAGAGACACCCTCCCCATGTCCCAAGGGGTCAGGGGTACTTAGGACCAGTCTGCGGGGAATGGAGGAGCCGAGCTCTAAGGGGCGGGACTAAGAGGGGCGAGGAGCATGTGGGCGTTGCCATCCGATGGGGGCGGGGCGACGCTCTAGGCGGGAGGGGGGCCCCTGGAAGGAACAGATGGAGTTCCCAAGGGGGCGTGGTTTATGGGAGGGGGGAGGTTCTCCAAAGGGGGCGTGGTTAGCGCCGAGGACGGCTCTAAGAGGGTGGAGCCGGGACGAGAGGGCGGGTGAGAGCGTAGGAGGCCACCTTCCGAGGCGGAGCCCTCGGGGGCGGGGCCAGGTGATCTGGCTCGGTAACCCACCGGGCTCGGCCAGAGAAGGTGCGGTCGGCTGGGGCGGGGAGGGAGGGGCTGGGAGCCGCAGAGCCTCCGGCTTCGGCCCGGCCCCAGCTTCTCACCAGCTCCGCGGGTCCCGGCCCAGGTGAGTGAGGGGCCCCAGGCACATCCAGGATCGGGGGTTATTGGGGTGGGGAGTTCTCTCTTTTCCAGGTGGGGCCACCGGCTTGCAGGGAGAATCTGGGTGTCGGTCCAGGAGCAGCAGCGTTCGTAGAAGGGTCGCCGAGTGCCTGATTGGGTCGCTGTGCGTCACGCGTGTCCGTGTACCTGGGCGTACCTGGGAGTGCACCTCTAAGCGTGCTTCCTGTGCGACACGAAAAGCCTCCCTGCTTCCACTTTGCCTGAGTAATCTTTTTAAACCACAAACCAGATCGTGCCTCTCCCTCATTTAAAACCCTTCCGTAACCCCCATTGCATCCCGCTAAGATGAGATTTTGGGGTTCTCACCCTGCCGACCTCGCTGCTCTCCACTTAGCTACTTGCTCAGTGCATTCCGGCTACAATGACTTCCTTGATGCTGTAAAATGTAGAGAGTAAGCTCTATTAACCCCCAGGCCTTTGCACTTGCTGTCCACCCTCTCACCCCCGCATCTGGAACTGCTCTTTCTCCGAACCTTTGTGTAACTGTCTCCTTCCCTTTATTGAGGGCTCAGCTCCAATGTCACCTGGTGGGAGAGACCTTCCTGACTATATGTTATTTACAGTAGCTGCCTCCTCCAGTCTTTTTTATCACACGTTCCTGTTTTATCATCTTCAGTGATTACTCATAGACATTATCTTCTTCATTCGTTGTGTGCTGTTTATTTTGTGTCTTGCCCACCAGGCAGCACAGGGCAGAGCCTTGATCTCATTCATCACCGTCACCGTCTTTCCAGGGTCTAGAACAGGTCCTGGAACATAGTAAGTGCTCAACCAATCCGTGTTTGCTCAATGTCAAGTTTGAGTACCCGTGTCTAACTGTGTCCATGTGTCCATGTGTAGGCGGCTGCCCCCCTGCACATGTGTGCACATAGGTGTGGTCTATAGGGTATGAATAACCCCCTTCTTTTCTCCATGTTTGCCCCTACCCCCACCCTCTTCTTGATTCTGCTCCCTTCCTCTCTCCCCTGCCCAAATATCCAGAAATTATTCCAAAGGATGAAGGGCAGGAGGATGATTTAGTTGGCCTCTGTCTAACCTGTGCCCACTCTGAGCTCCCCCCTCATCCAGACTCCCCTGCACCAAATTAACCAGAGGCTCGTCAGTGACCCACCTGCGTGCCCACTAAAGAGGGACGAGGGGAAGCTGACGTTGGGGGACTCAAGACAGAGGCTGGCCTGGCCCAGATGACAAACAGGAAGTACACAGGCATCCACAGGAGACACACCTGGTGTTCCGGTATGCAGCACCTGGAGCCAGGTCCCTGCCCAGCTCCCCGCCCCTACAGCTACCTGGGGCGGGCCTGGGAACTTCTTGCCTTTTTCTGGCCCTCAAGGCCCTGCTGACTCAGGATGAGAGAATCCTGGTGCTATTTCCCTGCACACCCGGCCGGGCCCAGAACACCTTAGGGGTAGAGGAAGTGAGAAGCAGATCTCCTGCTTCCCTCCCATCCAGGGCAGGTTTTCTCCACCAGACACTTGAGACACACACACGGCCTGAGGCCTGCACAGTATCAAGGGAGTCCCAAAATGTCAGAGACCTAAACTTGGCCATAATAATAACAAAGTGTATCGGCTCCAAAATTTAAAAATCTGCAAATGCCAAATTGCTGTTTGCTGACATTTCTACAAAATGTGACTTTTTAATGTCCCTAAAAATGGTATTGCATTGAAGGGACACCTGGCTGGCCCAGTTGGTAGAGCACGTGGCTCTTGATCTCAGGGTCATGAGTTTGAGCTCCACGTTGGGCACAGAGATTACTTAAAATATAATAATAAAAAATAAGATTTAGAAAAAATGGTGTTACATTGGAAAGCCATGTAGGGTTAGATTTCCTTACAACTTAAGAGTTCTTGAGTGTGCACATACACTGCTTAGAAGCTAGAGATCTCAAAATCCTCCCAGTTGTTACTGATTTAGACCTTCCCCTATGGAAAATCTTATCTCCACCACTTGAATCTTCATATCCCATCCCTGGCTTTATTTTTCCACTTATCTCTTTCTGATCTATCTATTCCTTCATCTGCTTATTTATTTTCTTAATTGCTGTCTCCCCCACTAGAACAGCAGCTCCTCAAGGGCAGGGATGCCCCTATTTTGTTCACTGCTGGGCCTCCAGTGCCCAGTAGCACCTGGCACATGGTGGATACCCCATAAATATTAGTTTGAGTGAATTAGTTAATGAAATTTCTCTAAAAAGTAGCATCACGTCATCTGCATAAAAATTGCATTCCATTTGAAAGCAATGCATAGGTCTTCTCCCTTTGCAAGCATCCCAGTGAATGCATGACTGTTTCCATGAGATCACAGCCAATTCTAAATTAAAGTTAATCATAGCCCAATTTTATATGAGGTATATATATGAATCTAGCATATGTATATAAACAAAATCTAGTGTACATACATTTTTCTCTATAAGTAACTTGTTTAATTTAGAAGATGTTTATATGTTATATGTTTAGAATATGTTTATGTGTTAGAATATGTTGAGAGAGAGAGAGTTGCATTTTAAGGTTGATAGGATGCAGGCTGCTGTCTCCAAAACTAAGAGGAACATGGAAGGAAGGGCTGACCCAGCCACTTAGGAAGCTTAGGATGCAGGAATAATTATTCCCATTTTACAGATGTGGAAGACTGAGGACTGTTGAAAATACAGAGTTCAGCCCCTGCACCCTCTGCCCCCAAGAGATCCATGCAGGTGCAACAGGATGGAGAGGACTTTGCCAGCCAGCCCTGGTACCACGGCCCCCTGTCCCGTCAGGTATCTCTGCTTCCTGCAGGGCCTCAGCACCATCTGATAGGGAGCCTCTCCCACCCTTGACCTACTGGGGACTTCTGAGGACTGCTGGGATCCTGGATGAGGGACTTATGGTCAAGATCTATTGGAAGGGGTGACTGAGGGTCTAGGGACTGTCTTGAAGCTCGGTTGGTATCATGGCATGCTCCCCAACCCGACTCCTTCGCTTTGCTTGTCTCTCCATCTGGGTCCCAGGCACCTGTGGCCACCAGGGCCCCATCTCCCTCTTTTATCACCTTCAGTGATTGCTCTTAGACATTATCTATCTTCTTCATTCGTGTGCGTTTGTTGTGTGTCTTGCCCACCAGACAGCACAGGGCAGAGCCTTGGGCTCATTCATCACTGTGTCTCCAGGGTCTAGAACAGGCCCTGGCACACAGTAAGTGCTCAATCGGTGTTGAGCACTCACTCTCAACCCAAATCTCCCCACCCTCATCTCCAACTCATTTGTCACCCTCAGGAGTCCTGGGACCCTGGGCATCCAATCAAATTGTGAGAGTCAGTATTCCTTAGTGGTTAAAATCCCAGCCCTACAACTTCCATTCTGTGTGACCTTGGGCAAGGTAATTGACCTATCTGGGCCCCAGTCTCCCCATCTGTAAAATGAGGATGATGGTATCTACCACTTAACCATGGTAAAGGATTAAATGAGTTCCTATGTTTTATACCCACAGCAGTGCTTGGCATGTAGGAAAGGCTACATGTGTCCACCATATATATTGTTCAGTCCCCAGCTCCCATCACCAACTCCGCTTTGCCTCCCTCTGGTGTTGCGGCCCCCAGCCCCTGTTTCAACACCAGCCACCATGGCTGGCATAGGACTGCTTGAACATTTTTATAAAGGAGGATTTCCAGGCCGTAATCAGTTTGGAAGGATCCAGCAAAGGGCACTTTTTGAAACCATGTTTGTTTACCAAGCCTCGTGCATTTACTCAGGTTGGACATTCCATTAGCCAGTGTCAGCTGGCAGCACCCCCAAGATGTCCCTGGCTAAACACAACAGATCTTTATGGGCTTGTTCATGTTACAGTACAAGCTGGTTGAGGAGTGGGGAACGTGGAGCTCCAGAAGTCAGTCAGGACCCGAGCTCTTTCTGTCTTGTGGCTCTGCCTTCCACCAGGGCTTTGGGGACATCCCCCGACAGACAGGGGACAGAACCTGTAGGACTGTGCAGGAGGGTTTTGTGAGCTAGGTCGGGACATTCCCGGCAGCTCTTCTGCCCTCATCCTATTGGCCAGATTGTGTCAGATGATGACTAACTGCAAGGGAGCCTGGGAAATGTACTCCAGAGGTGTGCCCATGAGAAAACAGGAACTGGTTTGGGGCAAAACCACCCAGTCTCTGGGGTGGCTTTTCTTGGGTAGGGGGATGGGGGTGAGGAATCACCATGAATTGCTGATCTGGGCTCATGACTAAACCCTCTACCCCCTGTCCTCCACCCCCAGAAGGCTGAGGCCCTCCTGCAGCAAGATGGGGACTTCTTGGTTCGAGCCTCCAGGTCCCGGGGGGGCCACCCAGTGATCTCCTGCCGCTGGCAGGGCTCAGCCCTACACTTCGAGGTGCTCCGTGTGGCTCTGCGTCCCCGGCCAGGCCGGCCCACAACTCTCTTTCAGCTGGAGGATGAACGTTTCCCAAGCCTGCCCTCCCTGGTTCGCAGCTATGTGACCGGGCAGCGTCCACTGTCCCAGGCCACAGGGGCCGTGGCCTCCAGGCCTGTGATACGTCAAGGACCCATTCGACGCAGCTTTAGTGAGGACACCCTCCTAGGGAGCCCAGCTTGGATAGAGTTGCCCAGGTAATCACAGGCTCTCTACCTCTCCAGTGACACCTGATATCCCCGGAGTTTCTCCACCTGTGCACTAACCACTGCTGACTTGGGCCTGGATTAATTGTGGGGGGCTGTGCTGTGCATCGTAGGATGTTGAGCGGCATCCCTGGTCTCTATCTACTGGGTGCCTGTCAAATCCTCTCCACCCCACCCCCTAGTTGTCACAACCAAAAGATGTCTCCTGACACTGTCAGGTGTCCCGTGGGGGTAGATCACCTTGGTTGGGGTCCACTGGTGCTGACTAGATAGAGGGTGTTCTGGGCATCGGTGGAGGCTGCCCTGCTCAGGGTGGGACTACACATCTCCCTCATCTCTGTCCCCCAGGGCTAGGAAGCGGAGTGACAGTCAGCCCGCAGGCTTGGAGCACATGGGGCGGTCAAGAGAAGACCACCCTGGACCAGGTAAGGGTCTACCAGGACAGCGCGTGCCTCGGAGATTGCTCTGCCACCCACTGCCTGACTGATATTGCGCAGGTGACTTAACCTCTTGGAAACTGGGGACAACAAAACTCTCCAGATTGTCATGGTGATTAAGAAATCCACAGGCACTTTGTAGGGGCTTAAAAATGGGGGAGTTTATGATTATTCCCAGAAGCTCTATGTGTCTGACCACAGCTAACCTCTCTCATAACTCCTGCCACACCCCCTCCTCACTCCAGCCAGTCTTGTTCCTGCCTCAGGGTCTTTGCACTTGCTGTTCTGGCCACAGAAAAGCCCATTCCCCTGATCTTTTCCTGACTGACTCCGTCTCGTTCAACTTGAGTTCCTCAAAGTAGCTGACCCTGGCCATCCTACCTAAAAGAGGATTTTCCCTGTGCCCTGTGTGCCCCATCTGTCCTGCCTCCCCTCCCACCATTCATCATGAGTCCTCACTGCCAGCCACTGTACTAAGTGCTGAGATGTATCACTCAATAGAAAGACAAAGACCTCTGCCCAAGTGGTGCCGATGTCCTACTGGAGGAAGATGGACACTGACAACAAAAAATGAGTCTGCTTTGGGGTAAAATTTAAAAGTAGAACAGAGGGAGATTGGGAATAAGGGGATGGGAGTATTACAATTTTAAGTAGTAGTCAGGACAGGCTGCATGGAGAAAGATTTGAAAGAGGTGAAGGAGGAAATGATGTGAATATCTGGACGGTGAGAGTGGCCCAGGCAGAAGGAACGGCCAGTGCAGTCCTGGGGCCAAAACAAGAACTTGAACTGTTCATTCAACCAAAAGGATGTGAGTGGAGCTGAACCATCTGGAGCTCAGATTTGGGGGGCTTTTTTGGCTACTGTGAGGACTTTGGCCTTTACTCAGAGTGAGCTAGAACCATGGGAAGGTTTTAAGTCTCTATAAGAGGGTCTATTTATATGCTCAGTAAATACAGCATCTCCCAAAAGTCTGGGTGCAGCTTTAAGTTCTAATAACCTCAGAAGCAAAAATGCCACAAACTTAACAAAAGACATCATTTGAAAGTTTGATAAATGCAGTTTCTTTGATGCTTTTGTAGTTTTGTGAATTTTGAATAATTTTTTTTCTATTTTAGTTTTGTACGTCAGTGCTTACCATCTTCAATCAGAGGGGCAAAAACAAAGAATTCAAATTTAAACTGTAGCATTCAGAATTCATATGTAAGTGTCCAAAAAAGTTCATTTTCAGACCATTGATAAGTGTGTAGCATTTATATTGGTGAAGTTTTAAGTTCAAAGCCACACCAGGATACCCGGTTATTGACTTGATGAACCAGAAGGTTGGTAGCCCATGAAGCCCCCCACCCCATCTGGCTTTCTTCTCTGTGTACCCCCTTCACTCCCTCTTGTTTGACTCCTAGGAGCCTCCACTGTGCCCACATGTGCCCTCCCTCGGATGGGTAGTGACCCCATGTTGCTGAAGACCCCAGCTCCTCTGGGGTGCGTTGTTGACAGCCTCAGGGCCTCCGATGGGCAGCTTCATGCCAAGGCACCCACCAAACCACCTCGAACACCCTCACTGTTGCTGCATGATGCATCTGGACGCCCCCCAACATACTGTGAGCTGGTGCCCCGAGTGCCCAGTGCCCAAGGAACCCCCCCAGACCACAGTGGCCCAGAGACAGAGGCCCCACCATGGTGGGAAGCCAACGAAGAAGAGGAGGAAGAGAACAGAAGTTTTGCAAGACCAAAGGCCGAGGTCTCTTTCTGGCCCCCTAACAACCCCTTCTGCCTCCTGGGCCCCCAGAATCGGCCCCTGGAACCCAAAGTCCTGAGTACTCTCCGTGACCTATTCCTGGAGCACCATCCTGGGAGCACGGCCCTGCACCTATTATTGGTAGACTGCCAGGTGGGTCACCTACCTGGTCACTCCTCCCCAGACAGGGGCTGAAGCCAGGCCAAGGCCCAACAGCACCTCACACCCATATACTCATTCTGCTTGGCTGACCTCCCCACTAACCCCCTGCCCAGGCTACAGGCCTCCTAGGAGTGACCAAGGCTCAGCGGGGTGCCATGGGGGTCGCCTCTGGCCTGGAGCTGCTCACACTTCCCCATGGGCATCGCTTGAGGTTGGAACTTCTGGAGAGGTGAGCCAGCCACCTGGAATCCCCAGGGTCTTCAAACCTCCCCCCATTCAAGGACCCCCAGGGAGGAGGTGAGATGGGCAAAGCTACTCCCCCCCCACGCCTCTCACCTCCGAGTTACAAACCTCCCACTGCCCCCAGACCCTTGCTCTCCACCCTCACAGACATGAGGCGCTGGCGCTGGCGGGGGCGCTGGCCGTGCTGGGCTGCGCGGGGCCGCTAGAGGAGCGCGCGGCCACCCTAAGGGGCCTGGTGGAACTGGCATTGGCGCTGCGGCCGGGGGCGGCCGGGGACCTGCCTGGACTGGCCGCGGTCATGGGCGCTCTGCTCATGCCCCAGGTGCGTGGGAAGCAGAAATGAGGAGGAAGCCTGAATGCTGGTGATGGGGAAGAGGGAAGAGGCAGCATGTTCAGGGCTCCTCCCCCAGGTGTCCCGGCTGGAACGCACGTGGCGCCAACTCAGAAGGAGCCACACCGATGCTGCGCTGGCCTTCGAGCAGGAGCTGAAGCCGCTGATGCGGGCACTGGATGAGGGCGCCGGTGAGTGGCATCCCTTGGCGCTCCACACCCGCTCCAGCCAGAATCCTAATCCAGCCCTAGGCCCCGCCCGTCAAGTCCGTTCACCATAGACCCCACCCTCTTCGCTCTAGGCCCCGCCCATCGCGTCCGGTTCGGTCCGGGAGTGCCCAAACCCTGGGCCCCGCCCCTGTTTCTGTCCTGGGCTCCGCCCCCGCCCTAGGCCTCCTCCCTGACCCAGTCCTGCTCTGTGCTAGGCTGGAACCAGTGTTTCTGGGCTTCCACTCCTAGGGTCCGCCTCGACCCAGTCTCCCACCCTCTTCACCCTAGGCCCCATCTTCTGCCCCAAGCCTAGCTCAGAGCCCTTCCCCGCACAGGACCTTGCGAGCCGGGCGAGGTGGCGCTGCCGCACGTGGTCCCCGCCGTGCGCCTGCTGGAGGGCGAGGAGCTCCCGGGGCCGCTGGACGAGAGCTGCGAGCGGCTGCTGCGCACCCTGCACCAGGCGCGTCAGATGGCCCGGGACGCGCCCAAGTTCCGTGAGGCAGCGGCCCGGCGCCTACGAGGTGAGTGCTCCCCTCCGCTCCCTGCGGCCAGAGGGTCCCGACTTCCCGAGCACCCCGCATGCTCTAACCGGGTACCCAAAAACCCAGCAGGCCAGGGACCAGAGCCTCCCGCCACGCCTCCCAGAGTCCCACCCAAACTGGGACGGCCTGGCCTCTGGGGAGTTCTCACCCCAAGTCCGAGTCGCAGCCAACAGTGTTGACAGGAATAGTGCTCTCCACCCCAAGAGGGTTGGCCCCCGGCCCCAGAGCCACGTCCACAGATTCCCACTCCCCGCCCCCACGCCCCCACCCCCGCTCCCACCTGAACCGGCCCTGCTCCCAGAGGATCTCGGTCCCCTCCTACAAGGCCTAGCTCTCTCCAGGATGAGTCAGTCCTTCAACCTGGTAAAACAGCGCCCCCGCTGCGTTCAGAGCCAAACCTTCCTCCCGTCCTGGGACAGCCCAGCCTCCAGAATCCCCAACCTGGCTTATTCCGCTTTCGCTGGTAACCTAAGCACTCCTCTGTCTCCAACATGGCTCAACCTCCCCCAAAATGTGTCGCACTGGGCGGCCCAGACTCCAAATCTTGCCCCCCAAGTGGCTTCATCCCCAGGCACAGCCCTCCCCCCCCCGAGCATCACGCACTGAACAGACTGCCCCCATGCACCCTGGCACAGTATGCTTCCACCGAGCTCCTCGGCCGCCCCACCCCCAGTCCTGCGGAGACTCAGAGCGCCTCCTCCCCGTGAACCCCGCCCAGTTGTTCAGAGCTTCTGGGCAGAGTCCCTCCACAGTCCCTGCTGGGACAAAGTTCTGAGGGGAGAAGGCAGGTGCAGGGTGGGGCGAGGCAGGAGCCTGGATCCCGCCCCCAGCCCGCCTGGCCTCGCCCCCAGGATTCCGGCCGAACCCGCAGCTGAGGGAGGCCCTGACCACAGGCTTTGTGCAGAGGCTCCTCTGGGGAAGCCGAGGCGTGGGGGCACCGCAAGCCACACGTCTCGAGAAGTTCCAGCGCGTCCTCAGTGTCCTTTCGCAGCGCCTGGAGCCGGATGTTTGAAAGCACAGACCCCCTTCTTCACACTGGGACACCCAGGCTTTGGGGAACCCCGGCAGACACCAAGGAAGTTGCCCCAAGCTGTTCACATAGCCAATCGCAGTGGGAACCCACATTCTGCCTCACAGATTTGCAAAAACCCATACTGTATCCCTAAAAGTGTACATGAATCCTAGGGTGAGGGACAGCCTCCTCCCCCACGCTAGAAAATCCAGGTGTCTGGAGGCCCTATCCCACCTCCCACCCCCACACACCTATCTTACAAACGGGCAACATGAGGCTTTTAATGGCAAGAGAACTTGCAGAGATCTCTTACTCAGAAGCCAGGGTTCAAATGCTTTTTAAGAGCTGTGTGACTTCTGGCAAATGGCTCAAACTGTCTGTGCTTGCCTTCAACGTAAAAGGGAGGCTGTGTACTTTCTAGGGGTTTTCATGGGGGATTAAAGCTGTGTTCAAGTATCATGGGTGGAGAATGCCCAGTACACAGCAGGTGCTCAACACTGCCTTTTCTCAGTAAAGCTGCAGTAAACACAGAAAGGATGTTTGGTGCTTTTCTTCCTATACTGAAGTCACAGACAAGCACCCAACTCCAGGGAAGTTTTGTCCAAGGTGTGCCCGAGTTTACCTCCCCTTCTTCATTCTCTCTGTGGCCAGGAAGGAGGCCGGCATTTGCATATCCAGCCCCAGTATGTAAATCTACCAGTAAGGCACAGACTCCAAAAGCTTTATAGAATTTTTTTATATAAAACAAAATGGCCCTAGCCCAGCAGCAGGAAGAAAAGATTTGAAACACGAGTATGTACATCAATGGTAGAAGGCACAGCGAGTCCGTCTGGGATGAGGAGTGGGTTGGGGAGGGGGGCAGCAGGTTACACAGGTCTCAGCTGAAGCCACGGGGGCAGAAATAAAGTGCGTAGGTCCTGGGGCCCCCCGTGGCCCAGAAGCAGCAGCCAACAGCCCCCTTCTTCCCACCTGTGGCAGGGTTCAGCTGAGCGTGACACGGAGGTAGGAGGTGGGCACATAGCCCTCACCTCCCTGTTTCCGCCTGACCCGGGTCCAGCCATCACCTTTGTCCTCCTCCATGAGACTGAGGTCTTCACCCTCAGCCATGGAGATGGTGCCCTCGCTGGACCCTGTCGTGGGAGGGGCAGTGGGCTCAGATCTGCTTCAGGTGAAGGTAAACACAATCTAGCCAAAAACACCGCCCACCCCCTAAGCGGCTGATGGGACACACAAGCTGTCCTCACCTTCAAAGTGGTATATGGCCACACAGTGACCTATGGGGGATGCCGGCTCCTCAAAATCCTCATCAAACTCCGTGTAGATGGGGGCATCCTGACCCTCCTCGGAGAGGGGCTCTTCAGAGCTGGTTGGGGAGAACAAAGCAGGTCAGGACAGGCCTCCCAGGTCCTGGGGCCAGACCCACTCTGGCCTCCACACTCACCTCTCCTTGTCATCCTGCGGTCCGCTGTTGGTGCTGCTGCTGTCTGGAGGGGCACTGGCTGGGGGCTCTGGAGGCCGGGGGTGGCGGCCCAGGCTGTCCCCCCGGTTGCTCAGGACCCGGCTCTCAGCTTCCACCAGCCAAGCCTGAGAGGAGGGAGTCACAGTCAGTTCCAGGGCAGGGCTCCGGGGTCAGCCCGCTCTGGACCTGGAGGTTTCCTGAGATCACCCATGCACACCCAAGGCTGTGATGAAAAACAGCTGGGGCACCACCCCCACCCAACACCTCCCTGTTCCCCCCCCCAGGAAGTGACTCAGCTAGGCCCGCTGGCCCCCACCCCTCCCCAGGGTCTTCCCTGACCTCATACTTCTGCACTTCCAATTTCAGCCGTTCGATGTTGTTCAGGGTTTCCGTGATCCGGGGCTCCAAGCTGGCAGGGTCCCCCATCTGGGGTGTCTTCTCATACACATCCTTCATTTTCTTCAGGGCTTCTCTAGGATGACACAGACACAGATCAGAAAGAACAGTCCCATATGACTTAACAAGCAAAAAAAAAAAGAAAAAAAATGTGCTTGGCTTCAAGGAGCCAATAGCAAGACAAGACAGTGGTTAAATCACAAACGCTGGTGATTCACTGCCTGGGTTCGAATCCCAGTCTGGGCATTTCCTTGTCTGTGAGTGTGAGTGAAGTTACGGGACCTCTCAGTATGCAAATCTGGAAAATGGGGATAATGATGCATATATCTCATGTAAGTGGCTGCAAAGATTAGAATGGTGCCTTTATTTATTCAGATACACATTGACTACCTACTGCATATCAGTTACTGTTCCAGCCATCAGAATATAGCCCTACACAAGACGATCAGGATTCTGCCCTGGCTCACAGTCTCAGGAATTCACTTGGGAATGCCAGTGAATCTATGTAAAGGATGTGAAATAGTGTATGGCACACAGTAAGCACTCTATAATGTTTGGTATTATTATCATTAGTCCTTGATCCCTGTCTCCTCCAAGACTATATATACAGACAGTAGTAGTAACAAGCATAGACCTTGGAATATGTCAAACCTGGGTTCAACTTCTTTCCAGTCCTAATACCACATCCAGGCCATGGGGAAACAAGCAGAGAGGTGGGACAGCTAGAATTCAAGGCCAGCCTGTCTTGACTCCAAAGCATGCTCCCTTCACCCCTACATCATAAAGACTCGGGGCGCCTGGGTGGCTCAGTCGGTTAAGCATCTGCCTTCGGCTCAGGTCATGATCCCGGGGTCCTGGGATCGAGTCCCATGTCGGTGGCCCAGCAGGGAGCCTGCTTCTCCCTCCCCCTTCTGCCCCTCCACACGTTGTGCTCTCTCTCTCAGATAAATAAACAACATCTTTAAAATAAATAAATAAATAAAAATAAAGACTCAGGAACTACAAGGTTCTGAATGGAACTTTACACCAATAAAAGCTTCGTACAATAAAAGTTTTATACAAGAGGTTCTATGCAAACGGCAAGAGAGAACTGGGCTGCCTGTCCCCAAGTGGCAAACATCATTCCTATTATTTAAGAGGAGTGGGAAGAGGATCTTGTTACTTGGAAGAAGTGAGTACAGATTTTCTTTTTTTCAGTCTGGCAGATTTTTTATTGTTAATATTTTAAGTGTTTGAGTTATTAAGCAGATAACCATGGGTGGGTTTTTTTTTTTTTTCTTTTAGCCAATTATGGTAGTAAATGAGACTAATAGATGTTTTTTTATATTGAACCATCTTTGCATTACTGGGATAACACCCAATCGTTCATGACTTGTCTTTTAAAAAGTTACGTTTTTATTATGGTAAAATACACATTAACATGAAAGTTCCCCCTTGAACCATATCTAGGTGTACGGTTCCGTGGCATCAAGTACAGCCACACTGTTGTGCACCCATCCCCATCACATGGAACATTATTTTTAAAATACATCACTGGATTTGTCTGGCCAGGAATCTGCATCCAAGATCCTAGTGAAGTAAAATGAGCCCAGAATTTGAATTTCTCGAGTTCTCGCTAACAGATATGGAAATTGATTCCACCAAGCCTCCTAAATGAGCTGGCAGCTTTCACTTTTTCTGTTTGCGGCAATGACTTGTGTAAGAGGAGAAGTAACTGTTTCCTTCTAAGTATGGCAGGAATCACCTGTAAAACCACCGGTGCCTGGGGCTTGTTTGGGAGAGCTCAGAGTACCATTTCAGTATAGTTCATTTATCCTTTTATTTTTGTTTCTTGCCTGCCTGCCCCCAATCTTACCTCTGGTCAACCTCCTTCTGTAGCTCACGATTCCGTTCTTCCAGCTGCTGCTGAAGTCGTTTTCTCTGCTGCTCTGGGGGCAAGTGGCTGAAATCCTCCGTCACCACTGTCTGCAAGGTGGGAAGACTGAGTTTGGGATCAGGGATTCTCAACTTCCAGGCTCTAAGACACTGCGAAGACACACCAAGTCCACCTTCCTCCCCACCCAAGGTTCTTGGGGGGCAAGGCCATGCACAGAGCAAAGCAGGTCTGGGTCTGGAAACCGGAGGAGGGGGCCCAGCTGGCGGCAGGAAGCGAGCCCAGGGTCCCGCCACCCAGCTGCTGGGCAGGCTGGGGCTGCCCCCTCCTCCCCCGGAGGCCTCACTTACCCCACGGCTGCCTCGAAGGCTGCGGAAGGATGCTAGCCGCGGTTTGACTGACTTACTGATCTCACTCAGTATGGCCAAGGGGTCGAGGCCGGAGCGGGGGGATGGGGGTCCATTAGGCAATGGCGAGCGCAGGGGGCCCCCCAGGGAGGAGAGGGGTGGGGGGCGTGGCT